AAGCACAAAACAATGGTGTTAGAGTATTATATTGAATCCTCCCAGGCTACAGGTTCCACTGACACCCCACTTTAAGTGAATTTCAACAGGGTGGGCTCAACCTTTGCTGCTTATCCACCCACATCATTCATCATGGAATCCCTCATGTCCTCAGATCAAGGGACAGTAACTGTCCGGGGAATCAAAGAAAAGAAAAAGAAATCCAGGCAGGAGAGATTTTCCCTTTTTCTCTCGGATCACCCCCCCTAAAAGCTACCCATGCGATAAAGGAAGCACTGACTGTGCAAACCTTCAGATTGAAACTCTTAGCCTATCTGTTCTCATTGCCTTGTGACTGACATTAGTAGCATGCAGCTTCCTTGCTGCAGAGTCTGTTCCTGCCCAGCTGGGATGCAGAAGCAGGTCAGTACAGTTCTGATTGCTCCACCGCAGCATGCAGTTGCCTCTCTGTGTGTTTAAATCTGCATACGACCGAGCGAGGGACTTTTGAAGACGTGTGGGTGTGTGGAGGGGGTGCTATGTTTTTTTTTTCTTTTCTTTCCCCCCTAAGAGATTTTCCAGGTTACATGCATATAATTGTCGGGGTGGATTGTGATAGAAGCCAGCAGTTCATCCCAGCGTTTATCTAAAATGCACGCTGGAGTTTAAATTTCTGCTTTACTGTGGCTGCATGTCCACTCACCTCTGCTGAGAGAGACCAATAGGTGGCAATGTTGGTCAGTCAAGTGGTCAGGTTATCATGWCCGTCAGTTCATCCAGCCCTTTTCTCTACAACAACCCGAGAGCTCATTTTCACTTCTCTGTTAGATTAAGTGTAAAAGTTGTGGCAGTATTTTTCAGTTTGTGCTGTAATCCTCAGTTTGTTTATATTTATCAGATCTAACAGCAATGGGCTGATGAGAGAAAATAGAAAACTGCTGTCAAAAAGCTCAATTTATTCTTTTTTTACTTTAAAGGTCTGAGAACAGGTAATTTATCTAGGCTTAATAGTATTTTTYCAGGTTTTTGTTGAGTCACTATCAATTTATTTTGTAAACAAACAACAAATAAAAAATGCTGTTACTTGGATTTTTTTTTTTTTTTTGTACATTTCCTCTTGATAATTTATGTCTGGCAAAAATGATGTTCTTTTTTATGTTTTCTAAATCCAGATGGTGCAACATAAGAATTTTGTTTTCTGAGCTGAATATGACAAAATAATAAAAAAACAGCTTTACATTATGTCATTTGGAACAAGAGAAACAGCGTTCATTCATCCATCAGTCAGCATTCTGASGGTCTTGGGTCAACTTGAGCCAACATGTTGCTCAAACCAGAAGATATCCATCAGACGAGGTGCAAGTTTCACTTAAGATCTTTATGAAATCTTTGCAACAACGAATATAAATACCCTCATTTCACTTTTTTTTCTTTTTAGCACTGAATGTTTAAAATCAGCACATTAGATTAAAAAAACTTGATAAGAAAACCTATTCTTAGTTCAAATTAACACAAAGTASTTGTAATGATAGCCTGAAAAACCTTGAATATAACAATAAGAAATGAACCAACATTGACACATAAAGAGTGTAAATGTAATATTTTATAGACAAATGATTCTGTCAGTGCAACTGTTGCTTTCACTGGCCTCAGATAGCCCACATGATAMGAGTTTCTTTCTGCAGTGCAATGTTTTAATAACCTGTTTCAGGTAGCATTGCTCCACACCAGATTGTGCATAAAATAATGGATAATTACCAACTGTCTGTGGTCATAATGCAGGCGAGAAAAACAGGGATATTTAAAAAAAATAAAACTGCCAGTTAATTATTTCTTTCCATCAGCTTTCCCATGGTTACTCTGAGTTTGCTATCCTATTATGACAAATATGCTGTCTCCCTTCAAGTGTTATTAAGATAAGCTTAAACGCACACATTTCAAAATAAGTAAAGCTTTGCAGATAGCAAAAGAAGGCCACACTCTGACCCAACAAACGGACAGGCAGAATAAAAAGGAATGTTGTCTTCCTGTTGCATTTGAACTAAAACATGTCAAGACCTAAAAAAAAATGTGTGTGTAGGTTTAAATCTAGACCAAGATCCTTCCCTAGCCTTGATGGAACACTGCCAGGGTCTAACGTAAGCAAAAAAAAAAAGTTGAGCCTTTAATAATTCTGCAGAGCATTCTTCTTAGTTCGTTAGCGGGGACTCTTGAGACAGCAGGTTGGTATCACTGATGCAGGGCGGACTGAAGATTCTGTGAGCACAACCTTTTTTCTTATTTTTATTTTATTTTTTATTTTTTTGGAGAAGGTACTGCCCTGATCAGCCTCARTGAAGAAGCATGTTCCCAGATGCTAGAAAGGAGAACGTGTACGTCAGCTCTTTAGTATGTCAGGGACTCTGAGAATGCATYGGAGAAAAATTGCTGTGTTCAGTGAACTTGGAGAAGGCTAATGATCTTGCCTCTGGGGGTATCTTGTGAGAACAGTATGAGGTTTGGCTCTGCCTCATCAACAGCCCCCCCATTTGTTTGTGATTTTCACGGAGTGAACTTGAGGAATGAAAAGTGTCAACTATGGTGGCTCTGGGATTGTATGTGGCCTTTGTGCAGATGATGTGGCTTTGTTGTCCTCTGGGGGGGGGGGGGGGCAGTGAGCGGTGGAGTGAGTCACAGGTGTGGGCGTTCAAATATCTCATGGCCTTGTTCGCAGGAAATAAGATGGAGCGAAAGAATCAATAGACCCGAGCTGCATCCACATTTAGGTGCACAATGGCACAATGTATCTTGCTGTTTGGCTGAATCATTTCATTAAATACACAAACATTTAATCCTAACATTCAACAATGTAAACTGGTCACATGGCTGGAATGTCATGAGTCCAAATGAAATCATCATCACATTGCTCATCACATACTATATTTATTAAGTTAAATGGAACATGTGTACATTTACTGTATATCTGAAGGAAGCCATTTTAACTGGGGCATTTCTGTGACTAGTTAAATGTCTGCTTGGTTTCTCTACAGGTGCAGTTACTTCTCCATAGTCCAAGAGCATGCAGGTTAATCGGTGATTCTAAACTAAACTCAAGGCTTAGTGTGTATGAAAAAGCTAGTTTTTTTGGTAAGAGAATAAACTAAATGAAGTTAAAATATTATCTAAAAATACAACATGAGACAAAAATACATTGCTGGATTACAGAGCCATGCTTTGTCCATTGAGGTCCGACACTGGGTCACAGCATTCCTGGACGCCATGCCTCATTTTCCCATCTCAACATCTAGGGAGGTACTAAATTTAAGTGCTGAACTAAGTCTGAGCTATTTTTAAATCTTTCAACAGAATAATACTGCACCCTAAATGACTACATGTCCAATAAATAGTTCTTTCGCATCTTTTTAATCTCTATTTTAATCTAATTAGTTGTTTTGTTCATGAGCTAGGTTTAAACGTTGATTCTATGCAGCACTTTGGTCTGCTGWGGTGCAAAAAGTGCTTTACAAATAAAGTTGGACTGGATTGGATTGTCAGCTGACAATTTTAAAACTGCTCTTTAAAAAAATGTCAAAATGCTTTAACCATTTCGCTGACTCATCGATCTCACTAGCAGCTTGCTGTTCTGTGCTCTGAACAATCAAGCATTGTTATGATGCCCCCTAAGGGTTGGGGGTTGTATTGATATTAAAAGAAAAAAAATATGATATTGTTTTTAAAAATATTGATGTATGTCAACATACTAATTTTTATGCACAGCCCTAGTTTAAATGTTAACTTTTTTAGTGTAATTTTAAATTGGCATTAACTTTATAGTTAGGATGCTTTGTAATCAGTTGTTTAAAGTTGCGTTTAATCCTGCATGTTTAAGTCACTTCTCTGCAAGAACACACCTGATTTAAGGGCTGGATTGTGATATAACAAATACACAATTAAAATCTACATAAATTTGTGATAAACTAGTGACCAGTACACACGGCATGACTCATCTTGTGCTCATTGACAAATGGAGACAGGAAACAGCCCTCCACAACACTGACCAAGATTAGGTGGGTATGACAATAAATAAATGTATCTATGATTAATTATGAAGGACAAACATAGAAGTGAAGAAACAGATCATGATTTTTAACCCTAAGGTTGCAGGTTTGAGCCCAGGCTAAGAAGAGCATCCAGCATAAAACAATTGACCAAYTGTGAGTTAGCTTGCTGTAGCGACCCCTGCAGAACCAGGGTGAAGCCTGGTGGCACTTGCAAGCTACAGAACCCGACTGGTCACCTCTGTTGATTGACAAGTCACTGTGGCTTTGAAAGACACGCAACAGTAAACAAGAACACATTAGTATTGGTTTGCATTGTTTTTGTTAAGACACAAATATTTTAGGTTGCACAATTTGTTAAATACTTTATTAAAGCATGGAATATGCATTTCTCTACACTAGAGAAATGCATATGAAAATTATCAAACAGGTATGCTTCTTGGGCAGCAAGTTGGAGAAGCAGAAATAGTTATTTTATTTGAATGCCCGACACACACCCCGAAAAAGCCTTGGTTTGTGCCCCCTTGAATGAAAGTCTAGCTCCGCCACTGCTGCAGAAGAGAGCAGCCCAGAGAAAAAACATATCCAAACCCTGTTAACTGTAGGTTTAGTCCCAATTGTGTATTCCTGTTTCCAACTCTAGCCTTAAAGCCACAAAATGAATAAATAAAAATAAATAAATAAATACATAAACCTTTGCCAGGTTTTAAACAACAGGTGGGTGAATAGAATAGTCTGACACGCCCTCAATACTGTATAACTTTAAAAAACYGTGCTGTGTTTTCACAATAAGGTGGTGAATCACACACAAACAGCCTATTGCTCCTGCAGCACAACCTTATAATCCTTCTTCTGTGAGTAACTGAACTGTATAAATCGACACACAAGTGTGAGGATTTATGACAAGTGGGAATAAGTGAATGTATGGCAGCTTGTGCCCTCCCTCTCTTCTCGCATCTCATTATCAGAGTCCCGCTGTAGGTGAAGCAGCCTCTCTCTGCCATACTGAAGCAGGTGTCCAACATGGCGAACGCAGGCAGCGGCTCTCTCGCGACTATTCTCTTTCTATTCATCTCTCAGGCGGCTCTTCACAAAGGTAGGACTTTGTTCCTGTGAGGACGGAAAACGCACGTTTTCCCCTCTCACGTTTCCGCGGCTGTGGATTTGGCGGAGCGTCTATTTATTTATTTTTTCACCACCTTTGCGTTAATCGGAGCGCTGAGCAATTTGAACGTGCGCGGCAGAGCGTGCGTTTAGCGGCGATGTGGTTGAACCGTCAGAAAAGCTCTCCGCGAAAAAAGTTGAAGGGAGGACCAGAAAACGCAGTTTTATTTTTATTTATTTTTTGGTGGGTTTGCGCCCAGCAGGTGCATCACTTTGGACAGCTCACCATTTATTTGGCTATAGGCTAAAATCGCCTTGCCGCTGCGCAGCTGGCAACTCCTAAAGATAAATTAAATTAAATATATAAATATTACACAGTGGCAAACACGGAATCCATGCTGACATTGTGGAAGGGAAAAAAAAACAGTTTTGTTTGCTCACTGGGGTTACTTTCGTTGTTAGGCTGAGCTGTAAATCCCAGAAAGCAGCAGTGCGTATGTAAGTGCTTTATGCAGCAGCCCTCCAGCACGCTGCAACGCACTCCATGCGTAAGTTTGACAATTTAACTTGTCCGGAGCAGCGTCGGACATTCCCACAAGGCAGAACATTACTGTTTCAGTGGTGGTGAAAGGTTTTTTTGTTTTGAACAATTCGGCGCACAATACAAGTCGGTAAATGTGCGCTTGTGTCTGTTTCATTGGGAGTTTTTGTTGTTGTGAACGCGCTCGCGCGTGCATCTTAAGTGGACACGTTCAATAAAACAAGTCGTTTTTTTGTAATGCACTTTACTCACCATGGTAAACAAGAGAATAGATTCACGAGTTTTTCACTGCGCTTTGGGCTGTTTGTTTATTTATTTATTTATTTAAAATTGTAATTCTTATTAAACCGGAGCTGTGTTTGTTGAGAGGCACGCTGTGTCATTTGGGTTCCGGTGGTTTTAAGGAGAGGTTAGGCTCCAGATTAAAGCTGTTTTTTGGGTAGAAGACTGCGGGTTTTGGGGCTCAGATTCGGCTGCTGATCTGTTGGGGAGCAGTGTTGGATTGGCGGGCTGCGGAACAACCTCACGTCTGTTTCCAAGCCAGGATAGTCAATGTTTAACTGTGYGTAACAACTGAGCAACATTGTCTCCCCGGATATATATCCTTGCGCATAAACTGCAGGGTGTATAATCATGAATCATCAACTTCAATTTATTCAGGGTTCATGAGAACAGGAGTGATTTTTCTTTGCTGAACAGGGTTTGATCCAGTTCTATCCTCTGAACTGGATGCATGTTTTTAAAAATGCATCTTGCAGCAAGTCAGTGAATCAGTTACAAAATCAGGCACAAAGTAAACAAGCCTCTGTTGTTCTTTGGACAGTGTGCACTGCTGCTTTACCTTCATGATAATGGCTCCACTGATTTCACACAGAGCCCAGGGCCGGCGTGCACAAAGCGTATCAATTATTCACTTCTGGCTGCATACTGTAAGATTACACTGTGCCCAGCATCGTAGCACGCCCTCCATCTTAATACAAATAATGTAAAAGATTGCCACTCCGGTTTGAACATTACGATGTTTCAAAGAGCTTCTCTTCCAGATGCATTTCTGAAATGCAGGTCCACACTTAATGTAAACAAAACACTTGGCTGAATCCACTGAAAACCACTCGAGTCACATGGTTGACTTATTAAGCTTTTTCATAGTAGATGCACATATGGCATTTGGTTGTGAATATTTAATTTAAGCACACAATATAGTAGCATATACATATATTTTGGATCTGGTCCACATGGCTTTGCAGTGAGCAGCTTTAAACTGAAAAGTTGCAATTTTTTATTTATTTTTATTTTTATTTTTTGCAAACCTTGCTCAGATCAGTGAGCATGCTTTAATCCCTAATCCTCACTTCTCTGCATGTTGTAGAATTGTTGAGCAGAAGCCTGTTAGTGGCCCACTGTGTGTTGAAGCAGGGAGACATGTGAATCATGCAGGACGGTGCTCTTCAATCACCTGGGATGGGAAACAATGGTAATATTGTGCAGGYTGGAAAGAAGGAATTCTGTGCAGCAGTGTGTTTTTTTTTTTTCTGAAATGATTCTGAACTGAGTGAAATGAACTGGAGTTTTTATGTAGGTGGAAGCCTTGGCTGAGTTCCCTGAATGCTAAGAAATGAAACTTTATCATTTTTTTATTACCTCCTGAGCATCCTTTATGAAAGGAGACGGTTTCATTCCGTGTTTCTTTGCAGCTTTTCTTTTACAGTGGGCAGTTTTACTAATCAGGATTAATGTAGTGAACTAAAGACTGAGCGTTCCTTGAGGTAATGCGGGGATGGAGCTGTAGTCGTTTCGGTCRAACCTGACGTCATGCGTGATGTCACATCTAGTGCTTCTTGTGTTGAGAATGATGCCTGTAGAGCAGCAATTACCACAGCATGTTTTAGCTCTGATTTGAGTTCTAATCATTTTTGTGCAGACTAAGTTTGATTAGCAATATGTTTGTTATAGGGCTGCACGTTATTAGGAAAACCAGCAATGCACGATAGCAGTGCTTAATATAGTGAGGTGCAATGAATAAACTAATACATGWAGTGTTGATGTCTTTCTGCTCCGGGTTCAGAACAAAAAATAAATAATTGATTCCAGCATGAACATTTAAAAAATATGAAGCAATCCATCCAATTGACCAAACACACAAAGGGCTCCRTTTGACTGGTTAACTCATAAAATGCAAACTTTTAAGCCAAATTTTTATTGCAGTTTATGTTTTTCTGTGATGTGCTTATTGCACCGGCTGTTATTGAAAAGGCAATAAATGTTCGATACATTGTGCAGCCCTCGTCTGTTGTAACTTGGTGCTCATTACAGTGTCATGAAGGTTTAAAGAAAAAAAAATTGTGACCAGCTCAGCTGTCAACAACTACGTTTGTTTACATACAAAAACAACCAAAGTGACTAAAACTGGGTGAACGACTGAAAGAGCCATTTTGAATGGAGAAGTCTTAMAGTAYTGATGCATTTATATGTATTTATGTTGATTTGTTGAGTAAAATATGTAGATAAAACACTTTGTTTATATTGAGTGCATACCTGCATTTCATAATAACATCAATATGTGTCCTAACACAAAATAGGTCAAAAGTGTTTTGATTAAAATGTTTGCAATAACTGCATTTTGTCAAAATAGAATGAAAATATATGTATCATTTGAACGAAGGACTTGTTTGAAGCACTTTTATTTATTTATTTATGTATTGTTTTTGGAGTAGCAACAAAAAAACTGATTATGAGCAAATGCTCCATTTCAAATTTTTGGATATTTTCCCTGCGAGCTAGCAAAACTTTTTTTTTTTATTTCCAGCTGGGAAATCTTAATATCCAAATATTTTTTGACGTTTCCTTTTTTAAAATGGCACCAAAACGTCCTCATTAGAATAACCCGAAATTAGGATTAAAGCATTATTGTGATTAACAAGACAAATGGAACCGTTCATGATATCAGATCTGAAGATGTTCTGAGGTCATTTTGACCAAATTTGACTTACATTATATTTGGGAAACTCCTGTGTTTAAACTCGTTCAAACTGCACCACAGRAAGCTGTGTTTCCTATTTCTGTTGATGCCTATTTTGGCTTAATTTGTATTCATCTAATCGCACAAGTGAAAATTAAAATTTTAAACTCAGACGTCTCTATAACTGTTAAGACGACCGCAACTTTAAGGCCGGAGATGAGATGAAAATGAAAGCGTGGATGACTCTCTGTGATAAAACRGAGCATATAAAGCAAGCACACAGAGGTTTATAACCCTGAGCCTTTTGTCATAAAACACTCGCACTGCAGCCTCGAGCTTTAGGCTTGTTTTCATGGAAACGTCTTGCCCGATTGCACGCATGTAAATAACTCGTGTACTTTATCGTCAGTTTGTGTTTGTAAAAATCGGCGCAGCTGAATCACCTGTATGCAATTCCTTTATAGATCCATTAAGCTCAGCTGTGGTGCAGATTATCGGCTTAGAGCAACAGGAGACGGTGCTTTACAGGTGTTATTAAAGAGTGCTAACAMAGCACACTCTGACCATCGGCTTACGCCGCCTCGATGACAATCTAGCAATTATCCCAGCGAAACGTAAACAAGGCTGCGTCACGTCTGGCCGTGCAGGCGTTGGCAGGGCCGCTTTATGTGTGTCAGTGCAGGAAGAAGTCTTATCGTCTGACTGTAGTGTTGACCTTAATATCAGTTTTTACATGCTCCTTTGTGTTTGATCTTGGCTAGTGATTATGCTTGGATAAGAGCATTAGTTCTGCCTTGTGTGTAGATGTAATCTTTGCCAGATAATCCAGCGTGTTTGTGCGTGTGTGTTGATGGACACTGAGAGAATTGAAGTTGCTTGTTTTCCAGTKTGCAGAAATGGAGCTAACAAGGGGAAGCAGAGCCCTTTGGAGCGTATTGCTGCATACAGTAGCTGTAGAATACGTGTGGATGTAATCCTGCTTTTATGCTGACATTGTTGTCACACGTTTTTTTACTGATCTACAGCCTGCTGTACATTTTAGCAAATGGATTAATGTGGAGGGCGAAGCCTTGATTAATGCCGAGCTGACAGCTTGATTTATTCAGCGTCCACGCTACTGGTTTCTGGCTCGCTTTCAGATCTTTTTATTTACTGCTACATTACTGCTGACATCTAAACTTAAAAGYGCATGAACTCTCAGCCATACAGTCTTAACTAGGGAGGCTTCAARGTTGATCATAATGATTTTCTTACCGTCCCACCAGTTGGACTCAAGCAGAACGAACTGCATGAGAATTATTGGATTAAACGAAAAGGCTTTAGAAATACTGGACTATAAAAGGCTTTTGTGGATTTTAACATTTTTTTTAAATCCTGGCAAAACAAAATTGTGAAGATGTTTTGTTTGGCCTTTTTTTTTTTTTTTTGCTGAATAATACTTTGAATGAAATTAAATCTTGCCTGTGAGCTATAGAGGGAGATGTAGATATTC